AAAGGTTTGAAAGATTTCGATTTTTCGAATTGTCTACATCGTAAAATTCGACGGAAGTCGAATTTTCGAACTTGTTAAGCTAAAAAGTCGACGGTTTTCGAACCTTCGAACTTATTACGCTAAAAAATTCGATCTTTTTCGAACTTTCGAACTTATTGCGCTGCAAAGTTCGATGCTTGTCGAACGTCCGAACTTGACTGACCAAAAAATTCGATAGAAATCGAACTTTCGAACTTATTTATCAAGAGAATTCGAAAAGTTTCGAACTTTCGAATCTTGAAAAGTCAGAAGTTCGACGAACTTCGAACTTTTAGGGTAAAAGTCGACGTTCGTCGAACTTCGAAAGACCAGCGGACGGTTTCATTTGAATTCAAGTAGTGAGGTACATTCGTAATTTTTTTTTTCTCGAACTTTTACACGCGGTGCTGCGTTCCTTACGAAATACAATGCCGTTCGTTTTAATGTTCTGGCATGCTTAGTTTTAAAGAAATAAATTCCCAAAGGGGCGAGGAAGGACGACGGGTTTTTGACGATTATCGTTTGTACCATATTTGAAGCGCGCTGTAGCCGAAGCTATTTGTGGAAAAGATGTTATACTTTTTTAAGAATGATCTATGTATAGCCTATGTAAGTGCCGTCTTAAGATGTGATTATTGTTATTCAACGTGAGTTTCGAAGAAATGTCCAAACATGTATCTACATGCAATTATGCCCTAAACTTGATATTTATTTTCGTCTAAGTTGTTTGAGGTACCGCATTTAAATTAACACCACAGACAGTACATATCATTGCCATTTGCAGAATACAAAATAATGTATTTATTGTTTTTTCACGCTAAGGAATAAATTAACTCATGGGAGAAGATTTCTAATAGTGTTCAAGTTCAGCACGTCATTAAAAGAAAACTTTTTTTTTTTTTTTCGCTTCACGTTCCTGCGACGCGTTTCTTTTAGCCTGTACACATTTTGGTAAAAGAAACTTGTTTCGAAGTTCTGAACCTCTGAATATGCAAGAATACAACACTTCTGGCGAATTCTTGATAGTTTTTTTTTCTCCAGCTTTTTATCCCCGCACTTATTCTATTATTTTTCTTTTTTTTTATTGGCACAGGTATTTAGGTCGAAAAGACATAGCATTTGAACTTCCGAACCACTAAGCATGTGACGAGTAGTGCCTTCTGACAACGAGTTTCTAACAATGACCATCTACGCAATCTTTTATGCAGTGAAGAGCGACAGTAGCTATACATATGCATAAATAATTTCAGATTAAAATAAGCTCGACCACGCCCTCTTTCCCCGTATTGTTTTCTTTAACAGTCCGAAATATCTAAAAGGGGGGAAGAAAACTGAAGCCCCCCCCCCCCCCCCCCCCCCCCCCCCCCCGCTACCCTCTTACCCCCCGTTTTTCCTCTTCCGACGCCACTTGTATGGTAAAACACTCCTCGACCTCGAGTTGTGTCGGCTTTTTGCGAGGCGATTCCTCCGTCCCAGAAAATAAACCTCCAGGACAATTACAAACTTAAATTACTATATGCCAGCGTCACTCGGGCGGCGTTCGATCGGATTACTACCAGCGTGCAAGGGGTGGCGAGGTAGTTTGCCAGGTCGCTTCAAGGTTTTTCTGAGCCTCAACCTCCTGCTCGTCCCTGGCCGTTTCGAACCGGACGAGTCTCGTAAAACAGTGTGTTCGTGTGATCACTACTGCGTGATGCATGCTAAACCCCCCCCCCCCCTTGAGCTGGCGGTCACAATTACTGATCCATGGTCACACGTCACTCTGCACTGGCAAATATTCCAGCGCATCCGGGACACTCGTCGTCTCATTTAATTGCCTGACCAACTTCGCAGAATCTAGATATCACACCCTAACTTTTCTAAACTTGATTTTTTGAAAACCAGTGAGTCGTGAAAACGTTATTTGAAACAAACTGTGGAGGAACTTGAAAACCGGACTTCGAACTTTGAAAACTTGGACTAGAAAGGAATTCAAAATCTTCAAAGTTTTTTTTTTTTTTTTTCGAATTTGGCGTTAAAAGAAAATCGAAACCTTCGAACTTCATGCAGAAAGAAATACGAAATCTTCGAATTGTTCGAACTTCATGTTTATAAAAATTCGAAACGTTCAATGTTTTCGAATTTTATTCCCAAAGAATTTCGAAATCTTCGAATTTATCGAACTTGAAGTAAAAAATATTCGAAATATTCAAATCCGAAATTTTAGAAACCGTGAAAGCTTTGAACTTTTCGAATTCGAAGCTGCACTGTGATCGAAAGCTGCGAATTTTTCGAATTCGAACCTCGGTCGGTACGAAAATATCGAAATTTTTCGAAATCGAACCTTAGTTCGCTTTGCAAATATCGAAACCTTTCGATATCGAACTTGGGGTGGTTCGCGACATCCCTATTCTTCACCACTTTCCGCGTTTGTACGCTACCTAGATCCGCGCTTTCTTGGTACAGCCTGGCACGAGCGCGCGAGATTAACGGAAGTTCTGAGAGGCGAGGAGGTGAGAGCGTGAGGGCGATGTTAGTGTGCCGAGTTCTTTTTAGAAGGATGGCGGGTAGACGCAAAGGCTTGCTACTCTTACGCTTTTCTTCGCTCTGACTCGGGGGAGCCAGTGGACAAAGGCATGCAGATACACTGATCTCTATTATAGGGGGCTGGATGGCGCATTCAGCAAACAGGTAAGAAGCCACCGGAAGTAAGCGGCTTGTCCCGGAAGTAAGCGCTTGGCAGGCTTTGTAACCCTTCCGAGTGCTGGTTCGAAAAGCGTCGAGGGTGCGGGAGTTTCGCTTGTCACCTCAAGAGAGCCTGCTTGTTGCGCAGTAAAAGCGCATGCAGACCCGAGAAGTATCATGGGAAGCCATTCAATGCAAACATTTTGAGATTCTAGTTGCACATGTCCCAAATTATTATTGTCCCAAGATTATCATCCGCGCAACGCGGATGATAAGGTTATCATCCGCGTTCCGCCACTGCTAGCTTTGCGCCTGCTTCACGAGTGGTAACTTAGGCGCGCCCCCGAGTTTCCCCCGAGCTTCAAGCCGTTCTAAAAAAAAAGTTGATACAGTGGTTTTCGATGACGCTTAAGATTCTGATTGGAACCATATGCCTATTTTCACTAATTAAAACGTTAATTAACGAATTTTAATTAATTAGCCGTTTTATCACAAAGATTAGCCACCCACATATTGTCCCCCTGGCTGTACAACTTACCTGCACAATCCGCTTAAGTGCAACTTTCACGGCTTTTCTTAAACAAATCTGTAAAGCTTAAGAAAACACCCTGTATATATAAACGAGTTTTACTGCCTTGCTTGTTGAATTTGCTCTGTCTCGTAGAATTCTAAATTCTAATTGTAGAAAAATATAAAAACATTTTTGGCTGAGGCTAGACAAAGATTTATACCGGAGGTGAAACGCATTGACATTATCGATGACATTAGAGTCTTAGTTGATGGTTCCGATGACTCTGACCATGATACCCGATACTCCGCCGCCGCCTTTGCGCGCGCGCATCCATCGTATCGTTCTCGGAAGTATCGGAGGTATCCGGAACGATCTACTTAAACTCTCTATTCAGTGGCCGATTCATGCCCAAACAGGACTGTCAAAAATCGTGGAAGTTGAAGCGTCCGACAGTACGATGTCTGTTTGGACGCCGGCCAAGCAAACATTACGATTTTCCTCCTCGCTTCCTCCGCTTTTCGGTGACCTTGCTGCACGTCAGACTGGACGTCACACGCCACCTGCCAATGCTGTCCATCTGTTCTGCTGGGCCCCTCGAATCCTTGGCCGTGTTCCAAAATTCACTCGACCTTACTTCAGGGCAAGGGTTTTGTACATTTGCGTTCGAAAACTTACCCGCTTCCAGCGTCGCTGTGTTAGCACGTGACACGACTCGCCGGAGTAGCTCGGATATATTTGGATAAGATTTCGAACACAGACCTTTCCTTTCCCGTTTTCGGGACCTGAAGAGCAGCGCAAGCCTTGAGTGATTGACCGACAGCCAGCAGAGCTTGCCAGTGGCTGTCCGGAATCACGTGATGAGCATGCATGTTCAAGGCCCCCCGTAAGAAACACAAGCGACCTTTGACCAAAAAAAAAAAAAAAAATCTCGGAAGGAAGGTGACACGCCTCACGATTTTCGAAGTATCCTGTTTGGACAGACGCATGTGCAGGAAGGTAGAATTAAATGGCGGCAGAAGTGGTCACTGCCTAGGTCAATTAAATTGATCGGTATTCGTCGAAACCGTTTTTTTTTCATTGCACTGTTATTATTTATCGTGGCGGGGTATAACACACCACTCGGGGATTAATAGCGAGGCACGTTAACCCAGCTCTCTTCCTGCAGAGAGCAAAACAAAGCAAGAAGACGCTTGTGTTTAGAGAGCCTGAGATTCTTCCGCTTTTGAAATTGGCCACACTGGTTCGAAATTCAAGGTTTTATCATCTTCTATGATCGGCGCAAGAATAAAGAAGGAAGCAACTTTTATTACTTCACCTCCGGCGCTTTAATATATTTGAAGTGCACAAAAGGGGGACACATTAATTAGCACTTTTGCAACAGCTTTAGACTTGCACCATTCTCCCGGTCGTTTGCTTCAAAGGCAGTGTTTTCACTTCGGTGTTACACGTTTGTCCCCCGTTGTGTCTCCTACCTCTTTTCCCTTGGCGTTTCTAACGGATGTACAGTAGTAGCGGAAAAAGATTAGTACAAGTGACCGATGAGCGGAGTCCAGGTCTCAACGCGGGGGTGGCCGGCAGAAAATTTAGGGACAAGATAGCTTCCGAAATTCGGTCTTTAGGTTGGGCTGCTTTCTGTCGGCCACCCCCCGTTGAGACTGTAGAGTTTTAGCAGATCGTTTTTTGGCTCCGATAACGTTACCTCCTCTCGCCTCCGGCAGTCATGGGTATGCATGGTGTCGTTATCGGGTGTCGTTATCGGGGCGAAAAAACTATCTGCTAAAACTCTCGTGACTGGCACTCTCGCTATCGGCGCGCTCGGGAACAGTAGCGCCGCGTGTCGCGATTTGACTGCTCCTGTCGTCGGTCACTTGTGCTAATTTTTTTCCGTTTCAGCCTTACCATTAGGTGCCCTCTTTCTTTAGGAAAAGTTCAGTTTCCAGACTAGACGCGACTTGTTCGGACGCGAGCGGCGATAATTAAGGATGACAAAACGTGTCGTCGCAAGGTAACAGTCTGGCAATATCTGGACACTGTCGTCTCTCAAACGCCACATAAGACGGTGCGTAGTTCCGCTTGTAAGCGATGCCGCTCGTAATATCACTCCAAAGGCAGATGGCGTAGCTGTTCACCGTCCTAGACATCAGGTGCTGACTGGCATCGGGCGAGTAGATGTCGTTCGAGAAGATGTCGTCCGCTTCCCGGCGATGCACCGGGTAGAAGAGCTTTCCGGGGATCACGTCCACCTTGCAAGTGCGCCTCTTTCCCACTTCGTCCAACGAAGAAACGTTGCACAGGTTTCGAACGTTTCGGGTAAGCACGACATTTCCAAAGTCTACTACTTCGTCGGGTGAGTAGTTCAAATTAAAGTCCTTCAGCCAGACCCCGAGTAGGGGATGTCCCTTCTCGAACGAGAGGAACCGCGTTGTCAGAAATCCCCCGCCGTATTCGAGAACCGAGTTGTCCAAGTGGTGCTGGAAGGATCTCAAGACCAGGAAATCCAGGTCCAGAAACGTCCCGCCAAAGTTCCAGAGAACCAGAACCTTGATGGCGTCCATTAGATGGTCAGGGCGTCCGCTGATACCCCTCTCGAGCCAACTGTGGAGGTAGGAGCCTAGAAACAAGTCCGTTGTCTGCAAGTTCCAAATGTGGACATTCCTCATTCGACTCAGTGGCTTCAAGAAGAGCGAGTCTTCCCGCGTGTCCAGAGGAACCGGGATCTGACTGGGATGACTGAGCAAGAGGAGATGGACGTTGAAGGTGGGATTGTGCAAGGCGGCAGACTGAACGACGCACGCCTGGCGCCGTGTCAGGGTCCGGCCAGGTTCGGTAGTCAGGAACAGTTTGGAGGAACTGGAGCCGTTGAGAGCTTTGGCAAACAGGGTACCCGTCACTGTGCCGTTTTGGTAGACGCTACCCGAAACCGGTACATTGTGACTTTGAGGGTGGACGTAAAGGACGATCTTGGAAAACCTCGGCGAGGGGCGACTTTCTGGGAATAAAAGAAAGACAAAGAAAATGGATGAATGAATAGATGTACGTATGCATACGGCTGAACCTTTTAATCGGGCGGCAGTTTGCATACAGTTTAACTTTAAGCTTCTTTAAAAGAATACTTCCAAAAGTTATGATTTGTGTAACGGAAACACCTCTTTGTAACCAGGTACGCGTCCTTTATAAAAAAAAAAAATACTTATCTTCACTAGACTTATGCCACAGTGAGGTAGCGCTCTACTTAGTTATTTCAGCATTCCAAACGTTTTTTTCCCTTCGCTTACCCTAATGCCGAACGTTTTTGCTAAATCACTCTTGCCTTTGGCAACTGCAGGATGAAACCCCAATACAGTATCACGCGTCAGAAATGTTCAGCAGTCTCTTTTTTTTTCTTCTCCGCAAGCTCTCGACACGGCCTATTGTTTATTTGTTTGTTTATTTTATTTTTGACACAATTGTCAGTGGGTTGGGACAAAAGGCGAATACAATCACCTGACTGGGTCCCAACCCCTGTAACAACACTCAACAGCAGGACACAAATCAAGGGAGAAAAATGAAATAAAAAGCCAGCTCACAGCACAAGTCAAGAAATAAATTATATCACCCAGCTAAAGACTCTTCAGCTTACAAATAAGATTAAAAACATCACACTGATTAATAACATAACTCATTAGGCATGCACACTCGCAACATTAAAATATTCCTTTATGTATTTTTTGAAATGAAACATGGAAGTGATTTCCTGGGCCAGCTCACACACGCAATAATGTTTGTTTAGGATAACTGCAATCTGGTAGAATAATTTTTGAGTATCATAATTAGTTCTCATTTTTGGTTATGGAAACTGCTGGTGCCTCAGGTTGTAATTTGTTTGCTTGGGTAGGTACGTCTCGTGAAAGATGTCAGGATCAGTGTTAATCTGAGGATGAATTGAAATCGCCACCTTTAGGCAAAAAAGATTGTCTACCGTAAGTATTTTATGTTTATTAAAACTCTAAGAAGTCGATTAAAACCGGGGAAAATTATCAATGAGGCGAACCGCACGTTTTTGTAATGTAAGTAATTGTTTAATATTATTTCCTGTGATTGCCCCCCCCCCCCCCCACACACACACACACACCAGTAAACAGTAATAAAGCCTCGAGTGGATCAGAGATGTATAGCTTTGTCGTTTTAACCAGTTTGGAACAAGTCTGCATCTAAAAAGTAAGCCAATGGATCTATAAATCTCTCCTCGGAGATTGCTTACTTGGGCAGTCCAATACCCTGGTATTTATCTCAGCTCGCAATACTCCCATCCTGATCTAAACCAACAATGAGCTCCCTCTGGAATTGTCCTATATACGTTCTCTAACAATATCATTTTGAATATCTGTCTGTACCCGAGGCTTATTTAGCATGCATACCCACATTCCACATTCCTCATACGCGCCCCGAAATTCGGACCCGAGTTTTCAGTTCACCTCCTTCATCTTGTGTCGACACTCCTCAGGCCGAAATACTTTAAAACCCTTCATGCCCCATCGTCTCTCATCTATTTATCTATATGTGTTCAAATTCTATATTATCACTAGTTTCCCTAGCTTTGAATGACGATCATCACTTACCACCATATGTGCCCCTTGATTCGGTGTTTTACGGATGTGCACCCAGAACTACACTGCCCACTCCGCGTTGCTTTATTTCTAACATTGCTTAAACATCCGATCTCATGTACAGAACTGCATTTCCAAAAGTCAGTCTCGGTACTGTAACTGCCTTTTAAATCTCGCTTGCCGCCTCATACATGATATATTTCCGCTGTGCATGCCGTATTCTCTATTACAGTTGCATTTCTGTGTTCCTTGCCAGTTATGTATATTTTATGCTTTTGAATTCTGGACCTTCGTAAATATTTCTTGGCACTTGTATTTATCGACTGTTTCGACCGTAAGCTCTTCGCATTGATGATCATTCAAAATTATGATCGCTGACTTGCCATTACTGAACTCTAGGCCAAACCTGTGTACTTCTGTACCATGTATGCTCATTAGTTGCTGCGGATCCATGTGGTCAATTGTACCATATAATTCGGGCACGCTAGAACTTGACGTGACTGTCCAAGACAAAATCTTTGCTATAGTAAGAAACCAAAGCCAAGGCCGCTGTTTTTTAGTCTCCTGCTCAAGCCTTGTAGGTAACAACACAAACAGTAAATGTGAACTATATCCTCAGAATCTAAAAATTAGTTTCACATCTTGTTGGTTTTGTCAAAATTGCTTCCCGTGTTATAAAACGTCGTGGTATTTATAGAAATCTGTGAAGAAAGTGATTAGGCTAGCCTTACAATTTAAGTGACTGGTTTAAGCTGTTTTTGGGTAACCGGACAAAAGCTCACCGCACAAAAGCTTACCGCACAAAAGCTCACCGGACCGAAGCTCACCGGACCGAAGCTCACCGGACAAAAGCTCACCGGACAAAAGCTCACCCGTTTTTGACAAACCCGGACAAAAGCTCACCTCAATTTATTTCGCTACCCGGGCGAAACACGGGCTGAAATAAAGTGCGGACAGGATGGACATTGTACCATATTTAGGAGAACTTGTACACCATCCCATGCAAAGATGTCAACAGTTAAGCCTAAACAGGCAGAGAAGCAACGATTTGGGACCAAAATTTAGGTCACCGAAACTGAGTGAAGCTGAGAAGCTCAAGCTTGCTTGACTCAAGGTAGGCCAAAGCACCCTTGTGCCACGCCCAAGAAACTTCGTGAAGCTAATTTTCTGAACCCGAAGAGTGACCGAAGAAGCGAAGTTACCCTTCGGTGGCCTCGCTTTTTCATTGTGCGTATGTCACACTTAACGCGCCATAAATGTTAGGCTCAATGTCTCTTTATTACTAATGGATGGCGTTTTGGTGGTTCAGGGTAATATTTAAAGTGAATGGCTAAGAAAATTTAATTGTTTCCGTCATTGTGCGCAATAAATATATCTGATATGAAGGATTATCCCAAGGTGATTTGAAAGGGAAACTGAAGCAAAACTGTAATATGCAAACCATTGAGTTGCGAATTTTTAAAAATATCCTGAAGGAACGGGAGTTGGGCCTTTTGGAAAAGTTCAAGACAGATAAATGACTAATTAAAAAAAAAATGTGCGGGATTTTGGATAGGCTCACGTTCCTTCCACCACAGCTTGTTCCACAAAGACTAACCATCAGGGAAAAGTCTACCGGTGACATCGGCTACCTGCTGGACTATTTTGATTGCACGTATGTCAACGGCCGCTTCCGTTAAGGCGCGTTCACACTCTTGCAACCGAGTACGACCGAGAAAGACTTCTTGGGACCGGATGCACTGAGCGGAGCTGGTCCTAAGAGATCGCAAAAGGCTTAAAAACCGGTTTGGTCTCTCTCGGTCGCACTCGGTTGCAAGAGTGTGAACGGGCCTTTATGCTTCTGTTCCTTCTGCGGCGGCACCCAGAACGAATTCTTCCCATCGCTTGACTGTGCGCCGACGACGACCGGAGTTCCCCCCGGAACGGTGGAATATGTACGACGCCACTCTTCAAAGATCAAGACTGGACGAACAACACCTGCGAAGGATGGAATACCGAATTCCAGAAGCTCGTCGGCCACGCACATCTAAGTGTCTTGAGGCTGATTGAATGCCTACAGCAAAATCAGACGCTCGTTGCCAGGGCATGGACAGAAGCCCGGAGAGGTGATCCCCCAGTAAAGCGGGTGCGAAAAACCACTCTGCGCCTACAGAATCGTCTTAAAAATATTTGCGAGAGCTTCCAGGTACATCGAGATCTACCAAGACTGTTGGAGCTAGTAGGGGACTGCATCTGCTTCCAGCCAACTGATAAATTAACTTGTTTCTACTATAATCAACAAACCATGCGCCAGTCAGATTTAATTAATTACTGCAATTTAGCGTCGTACGCATGCACTTAAGTTGTCCGCACTCGTGTTAAGACCATCATTAAATTTTCTCCTGGTGAGCTCTTGTCCGGGTCTGTGAAAAAAATGGGTGAGCTTTTGTCCGGTGAGCTTTTGTCCGGTGAGCTTCTGTCCGATGAGCTTTTGTCAAGTGAGCTTTTGTCCGATGTGCTTTTGTCTGGGATTCGTTTTTTGACACGAAAGGCCGTTACGCGTATAAAACAAACACGAGTACGCGCGAACGCATAGTTTCCTTTGTACGGGTCGCAAAAGAAAACCTGTTTCACAAGGCGAATTCGGCACTTGGATTAGTAAAGCTCACCAGGTAGTCTTGCGACGGCCACGAAGGCAATTATGGTGGCACAGAGGACAACGAGTGCGAGGTAATGCAGGCGACATCGGTAGATGCAGCACACGAGGGCTGTCCTCTGCTCTCGGACGAAGTAAGAAATCAGAAAGAGAGAGAATGGCGAAATAAGCAGTGAGGGTAGGCAGGCGAGCTGCGTGTGCCGATGGAGATCTAACATCGTGAGTATGAGAGTATGGCTTTGAAGTTCCGAAATACAAAAGGGGAAAAAAAAAAAAGAAGAAAAACAGGTTCGAATTTGAAGCGTAGACGTGTTGCGTTCGTATTCTCGGACTCTAGATATTAGAGAGAATGATCTGCTTTGGTGTTATTCCCACAGGATATACGCAAAACAAACGCGTTTGCAATCAAACTTATTGAGAGTGAAGCGGGCCGCAAAATCTGCGCTTTGTACGCATTGTGAAAAATGAGTTGTGACAAAGAAATTGTTACAAATTAAAAAAACAAAAAAAAAACAAAACAAAAAACAGCCAAGTAAATGGTTGCCTGAACTTCGCTATAGGCTACATGTATACTACCATAACTCGATAAAAAATCCATGACTCGTTTAAAATTTCGGCTTGTGTTGAAATTTTGTGTTTAAAATCTAGGCAGTGAGTAAAGATCCACGCAGTTGGTTTAAACAACTTTTTATATTTCCTCTTCCCAGCTTCTCCCACACACACAAGTACGCACATACAGGTACGAATAGACAAAACTCTAAATTTATAGCGAGTGGTACCAATCTCCAGGTACTTAATTTTACTTTGTTTGGAAGATTCATATGGACCTAGATCTCTAAACACGAAGAAACCTTGCAAGAGTAATGACGTACTACTCACACATCTGGTTCGCTCTTTTGCCGGAGAACATACGGAAACGTAGCTCCTGATCGAAGACAGACAGTATCTAGTTCATTATCGGATAAATAATTTATACAATAAAATAATGCAAATGAGTCGTAAACTCGAGCCTGAACATCAAAGACGCCTGGGATTTATGCCTCATTCAGCTTTCACATTTTCGCGTTCTTCGGTTTCTTGGAGCTCCACAAGAAGTCCTCACAGTGCCGTTTTCAACTACCTTCAAGTGTGCTTAACTTATCAGAGGTAAGGCTGAGCAAATTGCACATTGCACTGCCGTCATTGTCCATAAACTTCGCGCGAGGAAACGCGTCCTTTCATGGGATATGGATTTTGTGATTACGAATTAACCGACTGACACTCAGCTATCGTTTTGTAATTTGATAATAGTAAGTTTTGGTAGTGTGGACATGGGCGTACCAACCGGGGGGGGGGGGCAAGGGGGCGCTTGTCCCCCCCCCCCCTACACACACACACCTCTCAGAGTGGAGGGGCAAGGCATGTGTTTCGCCCCCCCCCCCCCCCCCCCCCCCGAAACAGCCCGGCGGCGCCCAAGGGGTACCAAGGGCACCGTCCCCCGGCCCTGGGGGGAGGGGGGGGGGGTCTGGTTTGCCCCCCCCCCCCCCCACACACTCAAAACAAGTTGGTACGCCACTGAGTGTGGATACGAGCAAACGCAAGCACTGTGCGTTTCCGTTAGCATTGCGTACTCCCCACTGCACGCAATGCTAACGCGTGAAGCGCCCAGATCTGCGTCTTGGATTGGCGCATGACGACGACGCGCATGCGCAGCGTGGAGCACGCAGCGCTTACGTTTTCAATACGCAATACTAAAACTCTCTGATGTGTGTAGAACTTCGACAAATTCACGCGTGAATATAGCGCTTATAGCGCATAGGAGCAAACGCAAGTGATTTATGTTTGCGTTAGCATTAGGGAGTTGTAGTAGATCGTTTTTCTCCTCCACTACGGTGTCCGCGAAGAAAACGCCGCAGCTGCGCATGCGCGCCGCCAGCCTTGTCTGCATAGTTCAAGGTCTTGTGGCGGATTACGGAGCGCTATCCGGGTGCTTAGCGGGCTGCGGGGACGGTCTACTAGAATTCCCTATTGCCTGCTCCACACTGGCGTATGCGCGTCGTCAACGCACGCTTACGCAAACGTACAGTGCTTGCGTTCGCTCGTATATCGTATACGTCATACTCAAACTCAGTAATAACAAAAATAACACACACACGCGCGCACCGCACGCGCGCACGCACACGCACACGCACACACACACACACACACACACACACACACACACACACACACATTTTACGTGTCGTGTGCTAACAGGAAAGAAAAAGAGCCAGCGATAGCAAGGAAATAGAGTTTGACTTGCGAGCATGGCGAAGGGCGATCTGTGCCTTCCCGGCTCACCGATCTTGTTCGGCTGCTTTCACTCCAGCGGCGACGAGACTACTACTGATTGGAATTGTCGAAGACTAGGCTCTCGGGGGGGACATGATAAGCAAGATAAGATTGGCCTCTGGAAAGTGGCTCGGAAAAGGTTCGACAACGTAATCAATCGTCAGCAACCAAAAGGGAAAAAAAGATGAAAGCAACAGAGCGCCACCTATGCTATATGGATATGCTAAATAACTACATGATGGAACGCGTCTCACCAATACGGGATCTGGGCGTATTTTTAGAAAATTAATCGAACGTTTTTGGACATGTTGCAACATGTTACCGCACACTTTGGGCGCGATCACCCGAATGATTAGCCATTTTAGGAGTTTTTCGTGCTTCTTATATCTGTATGATCGCAAAACTTGTCGAAGCTGATAGCACCGGGAACTGTTTAAACAAAACACACACGCACATAAACTTAAAAATGTATACAGAAGATGTAAGGACAGGACGAGCGGGTTGCTATGGATAATGAAACTTGAGGAAGAAAACGAGAAGGGACGTCCCTTCTCGTTTTCTTCCTCAAGTTTAATTATACAGAAGATATTTGTTCGAACATTTATGACCGCTATTTTCCCAGGCGGATTTATTTCAGTCATGAGCGGGAGTTTAGACCTTTACTGCCTCTCTGAAAGGAGAATGACACGTGATTTGTTATTTTTGCATAACTCTCATTACGGTTCTATTGACCAGTGTTGCGGAATAGGCACCCCCATTCCATTCCAATTCCATTCCGGGGAATTAGAGTTTTCGATAATTCAATTCCTTTCAATTCCTAGGAATGGAGACACTGAGCCCATTCCCACTCCTTGAATGGCTGAATCGTTCCATCCCATTCCTTTAATTCCTAAACGTAAAAATTGGCACTTGACAGCTACATTGTGTTCGCCGGCATAAGCAGCATAAAGCTGACATTATCAAATGCAGAGACAATGAACCTTTTCCAAATACCGACGGCACCAGGCGGTGGCTACACGAACTAAAAATCGAGGAAGTGACCTACCTGCGCTACCAATCGATAATGGGGGCTACGCTACCAGTTGCTTCGCTCTCTGAGCAGCGTCGCGTGCCCAACGCGACTTTAAAGAGGGAAATCCGTAGCGTCCACCCAAACGTCGTGTTTTTCTTTCCGTCCACTTTCTTTTTTTCTGTAACATAATTATATATATGCTGCAATTACGTGTTCTACTCGTCGATCTACAGCCTCATTCCGAATTTCCTCGATTTTTCGTGCCGACTTCCACCGCTTGGCATCGGGCGCTCGCGCGAGCGCAGAACGCTTCTCGGAAAAGGTCCATTGCAAAAAGAAAAAAAGCTAAATTCCTCAAAAAAGCACTGATTTTTACTAAGCGGACGCTGGTGGCAGAAAGTGTTTATTTACAATGTACTGCAAACATCGAGAAGGCCCCTTGATATGTCGATGCTTGTTTAAGACAGTTAAACTTAAGGAAGAAAACGAGAAAGGACGGACAAACACAAACACACTTTCTCGTTTTCTTCCTCAAGTTTAACTATCCATACCAACCCGCTCGTTCTGTCCCTACTTGTTTAAGACATCGGTGTCGCGACCACGTGGCTCGCAACAAACAGCAAAACATAAATCCACTCATCTTCTTTTCTTTAACTTTATTGCATTTGACTTTTAAGACATACGCGGCCAGCGTGTTTGTTTGATAAGACCATTAAAATATCCAGTTCGTGCGTGGCGCAGGAATAAGCTATATTACTGTATTCTTCTGCGTCCGGACATTTCATCGAATGCCGTTTCATCGAAGCGGTTTCATCGAACACCGTTTCATCGAACGCCGTTTCCTCGAACGCCGTTTCATAGAAGCCGTTTCATCGAACGCCTTTTTATCGAACAACGTTACAGTCTGTAATATTTTGGAATTTAATTTTTATACAGAATTTCATCTAATTCTCCTTTTTTTTCTTCTTTTGTTTCTGTTTTTATATCACTGGGTGCAGTGACAAGATAAGTTCCATCGTGAACATATCCTGCTTCGAGAAGAAAGCCTCCATGAAACAATGACCCCTCTCCATGTCACATGAAGCAATTAAAAGTGAGACAAAAACAGAAAGCACAGACACTTAAAAGTGTTTTAAGTGTCTGTCCTTTGCAGTTTCGTGGTTTCAGTCATGTACGTACATGAGTAAAGCTTTTCAGTAAGTCGCATACCCAATTGTTTTTATTTCTTTTTATGCCAATTGTTTTTATTTTTATTAATTTGACTCCACCTTCAAAACAATTTCACAAGTGACTACTTTAGTCTTAAGAAATGCACAGTGAAACATCTATAAAGCACTGTTACGCCCCAAAACTCGGTACAGAGCCATAACAGAGAAATTCGATGAAACAGCCCTTAGCGATTCGATGAAACGGCGTTCGATGAAATGTCCGTTCATTCGATGAAACTGCTTTCGATAAAATGGCGTTCGACGAAATGTCCGCTACCCGTATTCTTCAAATACAGCAACACGGCTACTACACTGCAGGAAGCGACTCCATGCACAGCGGCAAGAACACATCCTTGACAAAATGCAACCTCTGCGGTGCAGCACGAGGGACCGTATAGACCATGTCACGAAACCTGTTTTAAAACGGATAAGTTCACGCTTGCTTTACGAATCTCGATATTTCTTATCATATTCAATTCAATTTTTGGCTGGTTCGCCTGCCCTTTTCCACCCTTCGCATACTCATTTTCGCGTTTCCTCTTCAGATGGCGAATAAAGTTCGATAATATACGCCGACTGCACCGTGTATAGTTTCGTTGCACAACTTTCAGCGTGCAGCTTGTTTATTTTCTTCGCAACTAATGTAGAAAAATGTCTTCTACGATGCCATGACTCGATCTGTATTTATACTGTCTTCTCGTCCGAATTGTGATGTTCCTCTTCGCGCTGATCGAGTGGCGGGTTCAGGCAGCAGACGGTACCAACCGATTCATTCTTGTACCTCTGTGTCGGTTGTTCGCGTTGTGGCGACGGGTCGGGAAGTCAGCGTTGACAAAGCTCTTCACATCAAGAACAATTAACGGGGTAATACCGCACCGTTCGAATTGACATTCCCCGTGTTTCCTCGACAACACTGTCCAACTGACTACTCACCGCCTCAAATAGGGTCCAGGACAAGGAGCACGAATGCAGACCGGACAACCGAGACGCACGGAAGCCAAAACCTCAGTGGCAGCTAGCACCCAGCTTTCCTTCTCAGTTGCCCTCACAGCAACGGTCGCGCCTCGTCTGGCGCGGGACGATCTTTCTGCAGGTCTAGTCAGTTCGGTCACACCAAGAGCGGTGACGATAGTCTACATCACCTTATGATGGACCTCAACAGACAGCACGAGAGCCATCGAAACCAATACAGTGCTTTCTGAGTGTCGCGTGACCCTGCAGTCCCGCTCACGGTGCTGGATTGCCTAGGGTGACTCGTAGCGTCCTGCTGCGGTTCATCGCAAGGTGAAACGAAGTATGCAGAGACTAAAGTCAAAGGAAATGAGCAGGAATCCGCTAGCTTGCTTGTAACCCCAACCCACTAAAACATATAACACAGAAAACAAGCATCGGAACAAAGACCAAGTAATAGGCGGACTTACACTACAAATGCAGTATAAAAAAAAAAAAAAGAAGCCTCGGAGCAAAGCACAAGAGGAGAACAGGGAAGTGAATCTCGCTTTGGTTTTAATGCCGAAGCAAACCCACGTTTCCCACTCCAAAGGAGTGCGCACGAATGAACGTGGAAGGCAACAGGGTTGGCTGCCTGCCAAACAACGCGCATCGAGCTATAAGAAAACAATACCTGATCATCTTTCGACCGCGCCCGAGTCAACGAGTTATCAGAACTCTGCGAGTTATGAGTCGCTTCCGCTCCCAGATCTCAGTCTGTTTGAAGCGCCCTAGAGGGAGCGCTCCTCCAAGCCCCATAGAGAATACACGCGATTTTCTGTCATTTTACAAAAATTCTCACTTAATAACCGTTACTCCGAATTTTTCAAACGTTTTTGCTATAAAAAGATTGATTCTTCATCCAACTATCCCTCGAAGCATATTTTTCATAAAAAAATGTATTATATTTTATATTAAATCGTGAAATCGGTCGGAATCGGCCGTTTTGACATGTTTACGTTAGAACGCGTTTTTAAATACCTCTGAATTTTGAACTACAAATGTGTCTGGTGGAATATCTGCGGAATTTAACACGGAATTCAATTATATTAGAATTATAGCTGTAAGTATATCCGTTCTGTAACTACACCGAAAAAACTGAACCAAGGTGTTGTGGCTTGTTTTCCTGGTTTGGACGGTCAAGACTAGTTCGACGAGCGCCGCGTGAGGGCGCCACGGATCCGCCACGCACGCTGCTCTGAATTTTTATTACTCCGTGCGCATGCGCTCTTCAGTAACGCGCTTGTGGTGGTGCAGAGACGGCAAGACCCGTCCAGACAGAGTGTTTTTGCGTATAAGTCTGTTAGGGCTCCACGCGGGCTAGCAGTTTTCCGCTCATTTTATTTCTGAGCAACTGACTCGCTGACTGGCTCGGTTTAGCTGACCGTAAACACACACAAAAAAAATAAGAATTGTGTTTATTTTATTCCCATTCCATTCCGGGCAAAAGGCACCTAATTCCATTCCCATTCCATTCTCCTCAACGTTGCCGACATTCAATTCCCAATCCATTCCGAGGTCGTGAAAATGCGGAATGATTCCGGGAATCATTCCCGACTCCGGAGTGGCAACTCCGCAAAACTGCTATGACTGCCTTAAACATAACCTCGTCTGTTTTATTTCGCTGTACCAAACAGGACTCTTCGCTCCCATTGTGTATTCGGTTGCACCGAGTCAAAATGCGTACGACCACTTTCAACGCATTCAATATAATTTGAATTGGTCGAAAGTGGTACGCTCGTCTGAGATTTGAGTGTGCGATTACTGCTCAAACCTCTTTGAGTGAATTGTATTTTTACAACGAAGGCTTTACATGACTCGCTGGTTAGATTTTCTC